TGATGAATATAATCAAGGATCAAATATTCGGTCGCAGTATACAATTTTCCGATTTAGCATTAAGCCGTAACTCTCTGCATGAATTATAAATTTTTTACTGATACCTTATACTAGCTTCGGTCCCAGCTTCGATTTTAGTCCAAAAACAATTCAAGAAATTATGACGTTTTTACACAAATACCCAAATTACAAACTAGAAAGGACTATAAATTAATAAGGTTAGAAGCGTAAAGAAAAGTGCGTGCGTACAAAGTACACATGTCAGAAGTGAAACTTCTTTGGCAAACAAAATTTTAAGTCTTATTCAGATTTATACAAAACCTTAGATTTTAGAGACTTAGAGGGAGGGAAACAGGAAGATATGTTAGGAATTTAATGAATTTGTCATTAAAATATTAAAAATCTGCGTTTACTGCACAAGACGCGCTTCGTTTAGTAGTTACATATTAGAACTTGAGATGGCAATGCGAATACATCAACGAATATCGTGTATTTTTTCTCGATCTCCCTTACTCTCTCTCTCAATCATTCTCAATATCTCTTCAAGAAAAGAGCGTACCATGCATTTGCTTAAAACTGCATCGCACTTTCACTTTCTCTGGCATTAGTGTCAATGGTATCACTAAACATCGATGAGCTTCTGACTAACCATTTGCCTCCGTTGTCAAAAAGCCGTATTCACAAGGAGTATTCAAACTTAGTGCCTAAAGATATTTTTAGAACAATCAGTTGACCTTGATGATACCTTGTTTTGTGTCATAAATTTTATTTAAAATTGAAGGCCTCCGACTCGCTTGACACGGGTAGTCATTTTTTTTCCGGAAAGGACACAAGCTCGGGCGAACAGAACAGGAAATATAAACGCATTCTTATGTTGGTATTTAGCTCCTTTGAAGATAATATAGTACAGGTGCCCTAACTAAAGACTTTAAGTTGGCTCGGTAATACGGTGACTTTGACTTAGCCTACCTTTTCAGTACATACCAAGATCCAAGATGGAACATTATGCTATGCTTACCCCAGAGACTGTTCGGTTTTAGGAACGAAAGCTTTTAAGTTTTTTTGTGATTTTTAATTATAAAACTCAGAGTTAAAGTAAACCATAAGTTTTTAGATTAACAAATTAAAAAAAGAGTGTTCCTATTCGTAAAGGGGTGAAAATTAAGGGTTACCTATGTTTGCATTGCAGTGTCATAAAAAAAATTGTTTCAAAATATTTTTGAAGTGACCACACTCCCTTTGCCTCGGGGTTGTAAAAAAACCTATTTAGTGTAATATTCTTGCGTTAGTGCGTCACATTATTTTCCGTTACGCGCCATGCTTGTTTTGAAGTTAAATTATCTTCTATTATCGGCGTTAAAAATATGACATATAGTAATGTTTTTGACTTGGAAAGTTTGACAACGGATTACATTTTCGAACAGTCAACTTAGCTTCTATCGGCGTTAAAATATGCTACATATAGTTATGTTTTTGACTTTGAAGTTTGACCAACGGATTACATTTCTCCTGACTGTGAAATTTGCTAATCGCAACCTTTGCAGCAATTATTTTAGTAAATGGTATGCTAGGCAGTGTATCAAAATTTACTGTTCGGTTTTTAAAGAAATAGTTTCTAAGGTTATAAAGGTCATAAAGACTTTTACTCATTACGTGTGTACACCTAGTACACCTGACTGCAATTCTTTGGGTAGACACCCTTATAACTTAGGGTTTGAGAAGATAGATAGAAGCCGATTCTGAGACTTACTGAATGTGCATTAAAAGGTCTTGGATGTTTAAACTGTTAAGGAGTATGTGTAGGTACTCATTGCCTAGTACCCGTCGAATTTTATATATAAGATAAAGGCGAAACGGAGTTCAGTGGGGGCAGCTTGTAAATTATCAAATATGGGACGAAAATATCATTAATAATTACCAATTTTCTGCGTGCGACTCTCATCCCTGAGGTCGTAGGTTCGATCTCCGGCTGTGCAACAATGGACTTTCCTTCTATGTGCGCATTTAACTCGTATAAAAGAAAACATCGTGCGGAAACGACAGGCCCTAAAAGTTGACAGTGTCAGACACAGGAGGCTGATCACCTACTTGCCTATTAGATTGACAAATGATCATGAAATGTGAGGCCCAGACCTAAAAAGGTTGTAGCACTATTGGCATCTAATGAAGGTGTCATTAGCTAAGCTGTTAGTCTTTGTAGCTACTTTTATAAACTTTAATAGTTGGGAAGACTCTGAGTACGAGAAAGTATCATAAATTTTTTTTTTTTTTTCAAAATATTTAAATGTCTATGAACGGGCCTTAAGTAAAACAAAAACTGCGCGGAAATGAGACAGACAGATAATGGGAGAGCGAAAGGTGTGTATTGGGGGCAATGACGTGTGCGAACGAGACGGGGATATAATTAAAACTTTTGTCGCGTAGGATTTCTGAGGGAAAGGATGGCTGGGACAGCGGATACTGTGGAGTGTCTTATTTATAAAAGTTTTCCAACGCTCCCTGAATACATTGGTACAAGAAAAACACAAGATTTAATGTGACAAGCACTTATATAATTGAAGTGAAACTTCTTTATCGTGGTTGGAAAAAAATAACATTTTTCTTAGTAATTTTCGGTTAATTTTTTTTCAAATTCTTTTGTAATAAATTCTTTTCATAGGAGAAATTTTGTAGAAGTTTTTCAATGATAGTAATAATTCTATTAAATAAATGAAATTCTATAATAATCTTCGTAGTAATAAGGTAAAATGAAATATTTGTATTCATGTCTATGATAATAAAAGCCTTTGTTAAACTTTATATAATTTAAGAATTTCTGTAAAGTTGCATATAGTAGATCATTTTTCGAAAAATAAGATCATAAAGAAGTTTCACTTCTTACGTGTGTACACCTAGTACACGCACAATTTTTATTAAAATTAAATTACACAAATTTTTTCAAGCGTGTGTTCTCCTACAGCGAGTGTCAACCTAAGACCTCAAGGATGAGTCCACGCTGAAGCCACTTAACCAAAACTGCACGAAAACGATATTCATTTAAATGTAACTGCCAAAGAATTTATGTCGTTTTTAACTGTACACGATACCGATAGAATCACTGCTATTGCTATTAAATAAACCTTTCAACCTAGTTGACAATATCGACATTTATGTAATAGGAGGCAAACGGGCAGGAAGTTCACATGATCTTAAGTGACACCGCCGCCTATGGACACTCACAAAGCCAGAAGGGTCGCAAGTGCGTTGACTTTCAAGAATTGGTACGCTCTTTTCTTTTGGTACTTATATTGACCAATTATTTATTTATTTTTCCACAGAACTTTAACCACAAGCCGACTTGATGTCAAGCGAGATGCGGCCTATTGGAGGGCACTCCAGGAGACGAACATTTATCTTCACCTCGATGTCCGTCGTTCCACAACTGAGCGTTTCTTAAAACAGTTTTTGCCGCGCACCACCACTATGTGGAACCAGCTATCCACTGAAGTATTTCGAATCCAAGACGAATGCCAGATAGAGCAGGTACCTCATTTAGATATAGTATGTCGAAACAAATATAAATATTGTAAATATATCCTTAACTCTTGAGTGGTTTTGAATTTTGAACGCAAATTTAAATTTAAGCATGAAATCATCTCCACATCCTCCACAGTTCTGTTTACTGAGAATATATTTCAATGAATTCTCTTTCGTACCCTCTTAACCGATTGCGGAAAAAGTATTCTGTTTTGTTACTTTATAATTAGATACATTCGTAAATCATTATTATAATATAGTACAAATAATAAAAAATATCATGATTTTATTAAATTTATTAAATTTTGCTTGGGGTCCTAGGTTCGATTCCAGGCTGCGTACCAATGGACTTTCTGTTTAAGAACCCCCTAAAAGGCCGGCAACGCACTCGCGAGCCCTCTGACATTGAGTGTCAATATCACTTAACATCATATGTTCTGTAAAAAAAGGAAAACATCGTAAGGAATTATTAGACCCAAAAAGTCGAAAGTGTCAGGCGCAGAAGGCTGATCACCTACATTTCTTGGAAATTATCACGGAATAGATTTGAGGGCCAGACCTAAAAGGTGGTAGCGCCATTATATTTACATATATTAATAGCTGTTCCCTGCCACGCTTCGCTGTGGCTCATTGTGATTGAATGGTTGAGAAATGAGAAACAAAACAAAGAAAACATTTTATATAAGTTTAATTTTGCAATACTTGTGGAAAAAAATAATGAAAAAAAAAAAAAAAAAAATAGATAAAAACAATCCTTGATGCGGATTATATATCATGCTAAAGTTTTTGAAGCAAAGCAACATAACATTTTTATATACATATTATATAGATATATTATATACGAAATAATAATTACAAAATATATTATCCGATTTTAAATGACGTAATTCTTAAGTTACGATTCAGTCTAATTAGCGCTAAGCATGACTTCTGTATGTCAAAAATTTATTATTAATTTGTTATTTTGAGTAGTGATTTTTTAATTCCTATTATAATTGTGTGGGACGCCAAAAAGGGCAGTCATTCACGGACACCTATTTTAGTGGATGCGTTGCCGGCCTATGAGAGAGTATACTCTTATACACAATTGGAGGTCGAATCTCCCAGGGAATCGATTCCACAGTTCTCAAAATATAATGTCTTGTGATGCGAACCGTGGAACATCATAAAGATGACGTGGTCAGACACAGAAGACACTTGTTTAGTAAAAGAAATAAAAAATGAAAAACATACAAAAATATATAAATACACGCTCGCAAGTACTTTTTTGGAATTGGTACATTTATTAGCTATATGTAATAATTATTATATAATAAATATATACCTACATATATATACATAAAATAAATTTAATATATAATACTACTAATATATAGGACTAACCCTTCATGATTTATTAGATTTCTGTATTCCAAATCGCATTTTGTAAAAGAAATTACGAGTTTCCAAAGACATGCCATTTCTCAAAATGGCTTCCACCATCTATGGTCGAAAAACTCTTAATTAAAATTAATTCGCCATGGGCTGCTGTAGGTGAGTTATATGTTCCATATATCTTATATTATATTTTCGTTTGCCCACCGAAAAAAAAACTAAGAGCAAAATTAAAATAATCAAACACCCAGTGTAGCAGCGCACTGTGTCATATCCATTTTGTTTAAATTGCTATTAGGGCTGTGTCCATACTGGAATTAGAAAAGTTGTCTATGGTTATATTGACACGTGATTTTGAAAAGTGTCTATGGATTTTTTCTAATTAGTAGAATACAGCTGAAAGGAAACTGAATATTTAACTTACAGGTGAGCTGAACAAAGCAGCTATTGTCCTATTGGCTGCAGGCGAGCCCATGAGATTATGGTACGGACCCCGGCAGTGTACTTATGAAGGTAAACATGGGGACGGCCTCCAACCCAAACACCAGCGTGTTCGGCTGACTAACTTGCAGAGACCTGACCAGGTTCTGGTACCACTGCTTCTTAACTTAGAATGAAAAGTTAAAAGAAACTATGTATAGTTTAGCGGTATGCTTTTTCGAATGGCTCGAATGGTGAATAGAATGACCGATGGTCTAAGCGCATCTAACACTGACTCTTACGGTGAAGGAAAATATCGTCGAGAGATCAGGCACAGAAGGCTGATCACCTACTTGCCCATTAGAAAAACTATCAGTAGAGGTTGTAGCGACATGTTTTTTTCGATATTAATAACTATAGCTCTTGCCAAAACGATTCGTAATTATTTCTATCGATAACAATATAACACATCTGTTAGTCGCAGTCGTTAAAAAAATCAAAGGTTGTCCTATTTTTTATGTTTTATCGATAATATTACAAAAACAATTCTATGCCATTGCGATAGAGCTTAAATTCGTTTGCGATAACCCTAGAGATTACTAAACCAAGAGGTCTTTGTGTGAGTGCGCTTACACACTACGTCTTTTTTAATTAAAACTAGAATTATCATGGCTGGACATTTTTTAAATATAACTATATAACTTATTTTACTCAGAGATAATGTATGCTACATATATATTGATATAGCTAAATATATACTATTTAATGGTGAAAGAAATTTTTAAAACGGTCTTGAACTTTTGAAGATATAAAACAATAAATATTAAAGTAAATATAAATAAGTATTAAAGTCTGAATTCACCTTCGTATCGAAACATAACAAACCATTTTAGTGTTCTGTTTATGAAATATTAAAAAAATCGAATTAAATATTTTTTTTAAATCCGCCATTTTGTTTAGAATAAAACAATTATCATTTATGAAAACTATTTCATAAAAACATGTGCAAATATTTTTTTGCGTTTTACTTATAAAACAGTTTTTACAAGTTCATTAAATACTTTTATAATCTACCTTTTATAATAAATTTTGTTTAGAATAAAACAATGTACAATTATGATAAATATTTAATAAAAACACGTGCAGATATTTTTTTGTGTTCTATTTTTGAAATCGTTTTCTTTAAGTCGCATTAAATACTTTCTATAAATCGGCCATTTTGTTCAGAATAAAACAATTGTCATAAATATTTCATAAAAACACGTGCAAATATTGTTTTATAAATAGAACGCAAATAGCGTTCTATTTATAAAACAGTTTTCAAAATCATTGAAATCTTTTACAAATCCGCCATTTTGTTTAGAAGACCATTGTCATTCTTTGAAATGTATTATAGTTGCTCAACTATTGATTCATTAAAACATTTCATTTATTACATAGCAAATATATTTATGTTTATTATTTCTTTAATATTTACCTTAGAATTTTTTAATGTCACAACTACTTACGAGGCGGGAAAAATAATGTCAATTGCATAAAATCCTGGTAGTAACGGGGCATGGAGAAAGAGAAATAATGCCGAAAAGAAAACCTGGTAGACCCTTTGTCTTCGGTCGGTAGCACATGTCTGAGCGTCGTGGTCAGTAAGGCAACATCTGGACCTTCTCTTTCCATAGGTTCCTGTGGCCTCTCTTATTACAGCTTGGCCCAGTCCAGCAGTTGAATTCAAGGACTACGTTGGCTGGGGTACCTTGAACGGTCGGTCAGAGAGCAGTAGGTCGGTAAGTACCCCAGCAATTGGGGGCGCTGGCTCTGGGACTCTCTTGTTTCGGACCCCAAGTTTGGGTTGCAGAGCCAGCGGAATGAGTGACAGTTTCCAAAGATAATAGATAATAAAGTATAATTTATCAAACATCAGATAGTGATACCGATTTTTATATGCAATTATTAATAATTATGCCATTCTTGATAATGAAGCGACTAAAATTAGCTAATTAATGTTGTTATATCAAATGTGTGTGACTTTAGAAAAAGGTGTATTATTGGAATTTGGTATGCGAATATTATTAGTATGTGTATGTTTCTTCACAAATAAAAAAGACGTTTCTAAAAAATACATGTTTAATATACCTATATATATTTGGAACCTAATATCAACTATTACTAACAAATTGTATTGCATACTACCTTTTATTTCGTTAATTAAAATTTAAATAAATTCAAATTGCATAATCCTCTTCGTAGTTGGTTAAAAATAAAGTCAGAGTCGTTTGTAATCAGCCGAAACCATAGTTACTGCAAATGTGTATGTGTGCGTTATCTACTTGAAATATAATAGCGAGTGTACACTGTACGAATATTTTATTAAGCCATTTATACAACAAATTTTACATGTATGTATAATAGCTACTTATACAAGCAATTTTACCTGTATAATTGCAAGTGAGAATTGGGAGACACTCCTTTGGAGATGGTACGGTTCCTAGGTTTTAAATAATATAAAAATTATGTACTTAATTATCAACCCAAACAGATATAAAATAATTTAATGATATATAATGTTAATGCTAAAGAGAGAAAGAGACGAAGAGAAAGGTGAACCAATTCATGTGAAAACCATCATTTATGATAAACTAAGTTATTAATTGTCATAATCTTAAGTTTTTTATGTAATTTGTTTTCTATTAACCTGGAATACACAGAAATGTTTACTACTTAATTGTACTATATGTTTTTAATATCGTATATTATGTTCTATAAATTGCGAATAATATACTTTACGGTCATGTTATCTATTACATATCATTTATACAAAATATATAAATGGATGACATTATGATTTTAGAGCACTCGAAATGTCAACTAAAGAATATGTAATAAATTTCTGTTATCTGTCAAAGTTTTATTTAAATACTCCCATATACCAGAGACAATATAATAATTTTTAAAATTAAATGCTAAAAATAATAACACTAGTGTAAGCACCCCTTTGTAGAGCAAACGTCTGAGTTTCGATGTGGAAGTCCCAAGGTTGTCGCATTCAAAATTTAAATAAATATTTAACCGATTTAAGAAAAGTGCATACCTATATGTATTATTATTGAGTGTCATGACTCATGACTCGCATGATCGTTTATATGTTTTGTCCTTTAATTTTGATTCTTCTATGTATAATATATATGTTATAATGTATATAGGTAACATAATTTGTTAGTAGTTTAAGGTGAATAAATCAAAATTCATTTATTCACATAATATATACACGCCGGCAATCAAAAATCTTGATTGAGATGTAAACATTTAAATGGTGAACGAGTACAATATAGCTTTAATGTAATTAAATTATTATTTTTAAAAGTATGTTTTCATAATATTTTCGATATAAACTTCATTTTAATCTGTCATATTTAAAATTTTTTACCACAATCTTCTTACCGAATATAACCTTATATAATAATTATAACGTAATTAGAATTGTTTAAGATTAACAAGGAAAAACCGTCAATAACAAAACAGTCAAGTGTTAGGTTAGCTAATTTTTACTGACAATTAACAAATGATATTTAATGACAATAACTAATTGGCGAACAGAAATATAGAACGCTATTGTTTCATAACAAAGTCAACGCCAAATCTCAAGTATTTCAAAACTGTTTTTGATTATTAATAGTAAATAATCAATAAATAATAATAATTGGTTATTAAAATTAAATAATTTCAACCCTAGAGTCTCCGCGTGTGAGCGAATAAGGTATACAATGGCACACAGATGCGGTCCTGCCGTCCGTTGAGGTGGCCGCGTTACGTTTTCAAAAATGTATACGCATTCGAAATTTGAATTATTATTTTTAAACGCCATATTGTTTTTATAACCGATAACGATTCGTCGCCGCGATTCTGTGATGTGTTTTTGTTTTAATTACATCAAGTGACAAGTGAAAAAGTGCGCGTATAATATCTGTTAAAAATAGACAGTTAACAATGCAGCAAATTTTTCGTTGCATTCTGTGATTTGTGATTTGGATTACCGATTATGGAAAAGCCATCGTATAAGGTACATTTTTTTATATCTCTGGGCTATTTAAAAATAGAATCCATGTGGCCATTAATAATACGGAATTTTAATAGACATGCCATTGTTCTACTGTCTTATTCTTAGACGTAATTGTCAATTATTACAGAATAATTTGAATTAACAATATTCGTATTTTCTCAAACATTGTTTAACCTTTACATAAATTTTATTGCTATAATAATTAAAGATGTTGTGACGTGTCTTTGTGTGCAAAAGGAAAGAAATTATTATTAATTTTTGTTTGTGTGAGTGGATGGCGGAACTAGGGTTGTGCCATGTTTTATTTTATCGATTTTTTATCGACATTAGTTAAATATTAAAATCGGTACTTAGATAATGCAAATTAGAGTTTTATAATTATTTCCGCAAATTAGAGTTCTCGATTACAAAATATGTAAATCTATTCTTGTACTCGCTGAGTGCTATTTATAACGATTCAGAATGCGGTATTTATTTTTATGGTTCCTTAGAACTTTAAACCAATTGTGTAATGAGTAATATTTAACTGTTTATATTTATGGTAATTGTTAAATGTTACTTTTGTAAAGTTGGATTTTCTTTTCTAAATAGTGACTTCATTTTTACAACAATGGTATATTTGTTTATATTTTTCACACGGTTCACTCATATGAATGATTTTGTCACGAATTAGGATGATTTTGTTCAGATATCATTTAATAATGTTAGTCTGTAATAGTATTAAAATTATTTAATTGCACAAAATAGGGACTTAATATGTCGTTAATTATACTGGTTTTATTTAAAGGTGAATTAAATTATTATGAAATTGTTTGACGTGACGTAACAAAATACCTAAACGGCTGAACAATTATTAGTGAGTTTTAATATCGTAATAAATTTACTGTCGTAGCAAAAAGGTTTAGGTTAAGGGTAAAAGTATAATTTACTTAAAATACTTAAACTCGACATTACGTAATCAACTTGATTCTATAAACTTTCACTTGTAACAAAAACTTGGTAATTCTACGTAAACAAAACAGTTATAACAGTCCATCAATTTCATATCTGTGACCTTATCTAAACGACTCGGCATATCTTGATGAATTTTATTAAATATATCTTAAATGTATAAGAGGATTGAATTTTGATAGGTGAATTTGT